TTCAATACAAACAAACCATGTATAAACTTGGCATGTCTAAGGCCAATATTTCTAACCAGAAAATTGGCATTCTACCAGAGTACCAGATACTTCTCAATTATTTTTTCCGGCGAAAAAGCAGTGAAATAACCCGTTCCTAGAGACAACCCCTTTTCTTTTGCAAGTCATTCCACTTCAAGCTTAGGGGGCTTCGGCAAAGCCTCTGTAATGTATTTCTTGACTTTCTAGAAGTAGGAAAGTAGAAAATAAGTCTGGCAACCAAAATTTTTTTTTGAGAAAATCATTTCTAAAAAGTAGAAAAATATCTTTCTAAAGAAGTCTAGTTTTTAGCTTTCTCCTTTTTAACTTATGCTTTGTTGCCAAACGCCCCCTTAACTTGCTCAGTGCCAACTCTAGTAGGATCCAACAAATTACAGGCTACCTCAGTTCTATTTTCTCCGTGTGCAAGTGCCATAGCTTGAACTGAGGGAAGCCCACCTCCTCTTTCATACCTGCCTAGCAATTGTACTTACAGTACCAAGATCAGTAGAGATGGTGGGCACATTGTAGTTATCAACCCACCTAGTGGCACCAACTACTGCAACTCCTTTGTCCCGAGAAGCTCGATGTGGACCAACATCAGGCTTTAGTAGCAAAGTCTCGAATTCAGGTCCTCCAACCCATTGGTTCCCCTCCAAATTAGGCTTTAAGTAGCCCAATACTCTTCTAATTGAATCAAGTTTCCTCCCTTCTTGATGTGCTGCTCCATATAGATATGTGGGTACTACGATATTTTAGATATAGTTTTTTTGTAATGTGGTTAGCTAGGGTTAGGCAGACCTCCACCTGTATTAACAAAACAACAATTCCAATTTAGATATAGTAAGAATGCAAAGAACTGTGTAAATGGGAAGAAACCAAGACCAACAGACCATACCAGCACACCCAATTTCTGAAAGCATTCCAATTTCTATGCATAAGAAAAGGAAGGACTGTATATGATTCTTTTCCTACATGTCACCTCTCTTTTTCTTCAGTTGTGAGATATCCCCTTTGATTGGCTATATATGTCTAAGTAACTCATGCGAAAACATAATAAGGCGTATAAATATACAATCTACTATTTTACATACAAGTACAAAACCAACAGCAAAATACATGAACGCAAATTGCAAAACATTAGGACTTGTCCATCCAGAATGAGTCCAATTTTGTTCACCAGGGGGTCCCACTGGTGGATTCTACCAGGCTTGTGATTGGTTGTTATGTTTTTTTAACTAAAAACCTAGTTTGGATGTAGTGAACCCTAGTGGGACCGGAATAAAATTTGGACCAATCACAAACCTGGTAGCTTTCACCAGGTGGGACCCCCTGGTGAACAAAATAAAATTCATCCAGAATGTATGGGTTTGTTTGATTCGTGTGGGATTCTTTCTCGATTAACTTAGGGGCAGATTAGTAATTGTATAAAATATCAGGAAGAGATTTAATACTCCCTCTCTCACTTCCTATCTTCTCGTCTTCTTCTCCGGTTCTTTGATTTTTAAAAATTCCACCCCGTGTCTTCCATTTTCACTGGTAAATCGATTTACTACTCGAATCAAACAGACCCTAAACTCAGCCAAATCCCCAATTCACCAAGAAAATAATTGTATTATTGATCAAGATTAAGGCAACAAAAGCCTTTGTGCTCAACTGCATTTTTGTTATTTATTCAAACCTCGTAATAACAACTCTTTTCTCCTAAATATTCAGTGATGTTTGTTTGTTACTAATGCTATATATTATACAAGCAAGGATAAGTAATTACTGAGAGCAAATAGTGAGTTATCTCTGATGAAGGTAGTTAAAAAATTTCTAAGAAAATAAATTTTCATATATATTTTTTTTTTGAAAGGCATAAATTTTCATATTCAACTTGATACTGGAATTATACTACATTAAATTAGGACAACTATCTTAATAATTAACTCAAACCTTGCAGATTGGAATTGGATCCAATGTCAGCTGCTAAAGACTTGGCAATACATGCTACATGGTCCAGCGAAGTTTGTGCCAGAGGGTGAAAGCAGATATGGTCAAGAATGTGATTCAAAGTTAATGGTTTTCAAAACTGCTTTAACCATAGAAAACACAGCTTCTCTCAAAGGGTTAGAGTTTGCTGATGGTACTGGAACCAATTCAGAAACAAGTGTGTAACCAACTCGGTTGTAGGCCTCATCCTCAAAACTTGTTGATGATAGCTTCCCTTGGATATGCCTTGGACAGTTGGACCACACGACCACTGGATAATTTGTTTTTGACTTTCAGATATGTACACTTTGCAACAAGCAAGCATGACTTTTAACATTTTTCTTTCCTTCTTTGGCAACCTGCAGAAAGAGAAAGATAATAGATAATGAAAATGATAATAAACAGTTTGTAGCCACAAATTCTTTTGGACCACATGACCACTGGATAGAATTTGATGATAAAAGTTTTCTTCAGATATTTGCACTTAACATCAATGTAATGCAAGAGACCCCTTTCTTTTTTCATATGTACATACATTCGATACTGATTTCAGTTTGCAGTATCATGAACATGAACTCATCATCTCACTAAACCTAAAGGCTCGGCTGCTAAAAAAGCAAAGTTTTATCAAAACTATAAGTAGAGTGGTCCCTCAATGATTAACTCTTTGATTTTATTGGTTCCCACTTATTTAACTTAAAATTTAATGGTCCCCTAATAAGCGCTAAAAAATGTAAATATATCTCCTTAACTCACGTATATTTGTCATAAGTTATGATATAAAGTGATATGATATGCTTCGTATTGTTAGAATTACGAGTTTGTAGGTGCATTTTGCCCGGAAAAGCTAAAAGGAAGAAAAATGCGGCAGAAAAGTAGTTTCAAGTAGCCAACTTGACGTAATTAAACGAAAGGGTTAGAGAGCTCGGAATTTGAAGCACAAATAGGCATTGGAAAGTTATCACTTCTTACTTCAAGACTGTCAAGATAGATCACAGAAAACAACTATGAAACCAGGTCAAAAAGGCTCGTCAAAACCTGTCAGACCCATTTTTACTGGTTGTTTTTTGGCCTCTTGGGCTTCTTGGAAGTCGTGTTTCTAGAAGTAATTTGGACCTAAGATTTTGACTGAGTCTTCCACGTGGTTTGACTAAGATTTCCACCAAATTTCAGCTTTAGAAGCTTCCTACAAGTCATTTAATAAATTACAAACTCTTTTCTAGCAATTTTCAAGGAGTTCTAAGGTTAGAAGGACTCCTCCCTATATAAGGAGAGGAGAGCCACAAAATTGATCACGTAGAATAGTTTTTGCTCTTTGTTTTTCATAATAAATAAAAGAGAAATCTTTTTGCATGTGTAGAGACTTTCGATATTCATATGCCCGTTAACATATTTTGGCATCGAGAGAGAGAAAATAGCTAACAATTAGTATAAAGAGTTGTAATTCATTACTTGCATGACGGCATCGAGATTGGAGGTACTAGGTCTTGAATACTTCTTAAGGTCGAGTTCCTGGGTCAAGAGCAAGGGAACTCAATACCAATTATTACTTTGTCTATGAGTTCTAGTTGGATGCATGGGAAACAAGCATGAGTAGTTAATTTAGATATTTACCTATGAAACGAAGTGATACCCCGATTTTCTTTCCACATTCATAACCTTTATTTTATATTGCTTGCTTTACTTTATTTGCATTTACCTTATTTTAGTCATAATTACTCTCCAATTAATCCTCTACAATTCATCAATTATTCATCAATCCCTTCATAAACGACATCATCCTTCATCGTTGTTTCCAATTTGTAGCTAAGTACCCAATTCTTGGGTGAGTGGATTCGATATCCCGATACTTGCCTCTACACTAGTTTTAGAATTAGTTTAGTTGTTAGAATCATAAAGGGAATTATTTGTAGTAGTGCCGGCAGAGTTAACCTTTTTCTGCAGCTTGGTTCACTAGCACTGCTAAGTTGACGGGAATAAGAAAAAACCGTCAACATCAAATTGGTGCCGATGCCGCTCTAAGAAGATCCAATGTACTTACAAACGAGAATCAACACATTCAAAACCGCACAACACCGCCCGCCCTTGAAAAAAAAAATTTCGAGTTTCTGTGGAACTCGCCTGGGGCGACCTGCCAGGCCAAGCCAACTCGCGCGGGGCGACCTATTCAGGAACGACAAATTTTTTTAAGTTTTCCAAAAATTTTGAAAATTTCAGAATTTTAAGTTTTTGGACCAAGGTACGTGTTTCTATCACTTTTAAGGTATTTACATTCCGTATTTCACCATTTTGAATATTATTTGCTCGTTTGTGCGTTTTTGAGGAAAAGAGATACGTGTACTCTCAACACCTCGAATCTCACGTAAGAGGTTTAATTTTCAATATTTGAAGTGTGAATTGTTTGCTTTGTGTCTTTAGTTAAGTTTTTATAATAAGTTGATAAATGGTACGCACCAAAAGACCCGATATCAACACCTTAGTTTATGCTTTTACGTTCTGGTATTAGGTATACTCCATTGGTTGTTAATAAGTTAGAAGTTAGTCCGATAGATTTTAATCTTGATAATAGTCCTCTAGGCTTAGCAAATAGTGCTTTTGAACTAGATAGTAGCAACTCGATCCATCCTGTTGAAATGGCTAACCCTGAAAGGCTACTTCGTGATCTTTTTGCTCCCTTATCTAACGGACATCCGAATTGCATCGTTATGCCCGCACACGAAGATTGAACTGATTTCGAACTTCACTATGGCATCATGAACATGTTGCCAAAGTTTTCTGGTCATGAGCGAGAAGACCCTTATACCCACTTACATCTATTCGTCCAAATATGCACAACTCTTAATGAAACTAGACTAGGCGTTGATGGTATTCGTTTAAGGTTATTCCCGTTCTCTCTAAATGACAAAGCATCTCAATGGTCACATTCTTTAGTCGGAAACTCTATCCGTACTTGGGATCAATTGAATATAAAATTCCTTACTAAATTCTATACCATGTCCTGAACAATAGAGTTAAGAAACAAGATCCAAACTTTTAGAAAAAAACATATACAGAAGAATTCTTTGAAGCTTGGGAAAGATTTGGGGAGTTACAAATACAATGTCCACATCATCAAATCCCTATGGAAACGTTAGTTCAATGCTTTTACTATGATTTAAACCCTACGACTCGTGCCTTACTAGAATCTATGAATGAGGTTCAATTCCTTAGTAAAACCGCAACACAAGCTAATGATTTCTTTATAAGACTTGCTGAAAATTCTCAACATTGGGGAAACTCACCTAATCCTATTCCGGGAGTCTATGAAGTTAAACCTACAGCTAAGATGGAACAAGACGGAGACTAAAAAATTTAATTCAAAATCTAGCTAAAAGAGTTGAAGCTCTCTCCTTACAAAGTAACCAACCCAACACTGTCATGAACGTTAATGAAATATGTCAAGTTTGTAATGGAAACGATCATAATGAAAATAATTGCCCACACATTCCTTACGAACAAGAACAGGTTAACGGTATTTGGGATAATAGAACTAATGCTCCACCTCAAGGTAACTCATACAATTCAACATGAGCTAATCATCCAAACTCTCGATGGGGAAATTAAAACAACACTAGAACTTTTAATCAAAACCCACGAAACTTTCAAGGAATTAACATGAATAGAAACCCTAATGGATATATGAGGCAAAACAATAACTTTCAAGGTTATAGAAATAACAATGAAGTTAATCAACCTCCGGTTCAAAATCTAGAAAAAGCGGAGCAACCTAAAACCAACTATGAAGCTCTTTTAATGAAGATACTTGAACAACAAACGAATCAAAATAAAATCATTGAAAGACTTGAAAATAAAGTTGCTAAAATAGATGCCGAACAAGAGAAAAGAAAATTTCCGGGACAAGCTATCCAAAATCCAAAACCAATTCAAAAAGTTTTTGAAGTTTCAACTAGTAATCCTCCGATCCAAAGAGAAGAAGCTAAGGCCATAACTACTTTACGTT